GCTTTAAGTTACCCAATACGTGGTGATGTTTGAATCATCGTGCTTAGTATTCGGAAATATTTATTTTGGTATAAAAATAATACCAGGTTTTCAAAACCTCAAGTAGCTGATGCAATGTACCAGAAACTAGAAAGCTACTAGGAAATACTTGATGAATCATTTCAAATATCAGCATTTCTTGATCCTCGAGTAAAAATATTTGTGTTTAAAACCAAATATGAAAAAAATACTGTAATTTAATTTTAGGATTAAATGAATATTTATCTGAAATATTATAGCAAACAAGCCTTACTGATAATTTGACCAATGAAAAAGATTATTTCTGTAGCTTATATACTCTTGAAACATCCTTTTCTTCTATAAATAGTATGCCTTCAAACTGTATACAGGAAGAAATCAAAAAGTATCTTGCAATACCCTTACTTAGTAATGTTGATCCTCTGTGTTGGTGGCAAATACAATATCTCGAATATCCAACTCTAAGTATTATTGGCCATGATTATTTGCCAATTCTAGCAACAAGCATTGCCTCAGAACAAGCCTTTTCAATTGCCAGTAAAACAATTACAGAAGAAAAAAACAAGCTAGATGAAGAGACGGCTAGAGCAATTCTTTGCTTGAAAAGTTGGATCTATAAAGAAGTATGCTAAAGTATTCTTAAAAAAAAAAAAAATTTTGTATGCATTCATTATATACTGTATATTGAAATTTGCAAACAAGTAGTTTTAAAAATAATTTTTTTATTAAAAAATTAGTTTTTGCTTATTACAATGTTGAAATTCATAAAACAACTATAACTATGCTAATTCTATTATTAAAACTTAAGCAGTATAGAAAAATAAAATATACAAAAAAAATAGTAATCGTGAAATACAATAATACACTTTTAATTACTAATGCTAATGCGAAGAAAAATAAGATGAGATTTAATTGTTACATAACGATAATGAATCTCATCTTTAATCACGTGTTGTCACTCAAAATTTTGGTGATCATAGGACCAGTTTTAGGATTGAAACTGGACCATAGAGCGTTAATAGACCAGTCTTATTAGGGACCGGGACAGACTGGACTGGACTTATCTATCTCTAGATACAAGGGTCAAAGTTCCAATAAAACTTGAGTACAAATCTATTCCAAAGTACATTAGCACCTAGACTGAAGGGTATTAAAAATTGAAAAAAAAGAATATATTACTAGAGATATTAGAAAAGATTTTTGTAAAATATTTTAAAAACTAGAAGATCTTTAACGAAATACAAGAAAAATTCTTGAAAAGAAAACCAAGTCTTAGGAAGAAAATTAGAAGAAAAAAGAGAAAAAAGACTAAGAAAAGAAAAGAGGAAGAATTTCATATCCAGAATTTGGAAAAAAGAGAACCCAAACAGTTTGATCAAGGTCTAGAAATAAAAAAACCAGAAGAGAACTCAAGATACTTAGAAAAAAAGAGAATGTATAGAAGAGTATTTCTAGAAGAAACTCATAGAACAAGCTCTCGAGAAGAAAAAAGAAGATGTGAAGCAACAAGACAGGAAGAAAAGATTATAACAAAGGATATGAGAATTGGAAAAGACAGATTAAATTAGAAAAAGAGAAAAAAAAAGACAAATACAAATAAAAAAATCTTAGCAATAACCCTGTATTGAAAGAAGAAATTTTGTTGTTTATTAAAAAATTAGATTTAGATCTTTGTTTTAATTGGTAATTTGCCAGTCACCTGGTGCATGATCATAGTATAACATGATGCAGATCACTATGTAAATCTTATATACCCTGAATATGATGTTCGCCCAAGAAAAACTTTTTTCGTACTAAGTTAATCACACTTCTGTATTAAGTCAAAATTGTAAAGCTCATCAAGACACATTTAATAGTAGTTAGATCATCCAATTGACCCAGTAGTTGTCAAGATATCACTAAAAAACAATTGGCTGACTATGTAAAATTTCTATGTAAACAATAGTTAGCCTATTATTTCTTAGCAATATCTCAACAACTACTAAGCCAATTTGGATGATCTAATCACTGTTAGATGCGCCTTGACGAGCTTTACAATTTTGATTTAATATAGAAGTGTAATTAACTTAGTACAAAAAAAGTTTTCCTTGGGCAAAAGCCACATTCAAAGTATGTATGATTTATATAATAATCTGCATTACATTATACTATGATCATACACCAGGTGACTGGTGAATCACAAATTAAAAAGAAGGATAGCTTAGAAAAAGAAAATTGCCAATTTAAATTAGTTAGAAATTTTTTTATTTCAAAACTGTTTTGTAATAGTTTCTTAGACTAGCTTAGTATAGCTCTCCAGTACAGACAATTGCTTTAACTGGTGAGGCAAACTGCACTTGGGCACCTCTAGAGGCAGCCAAGTGATGTCGGATCTGTAATTTAGAAAGTTTAAAATGTACCTAGTGCATATACTTTAATCTAATAAAGATACTGGTAAGTCTGCCAATATGTTTAAAAAAAAATATTAAATTATTGAGTTGTAAAATGCTTTATAACTATACAAAAAATAATATATAAATCATTTAATAATAATATAAAAATTAAATAATTTTATAAATTATATTATTTTAAAGAAATATTAGTGTAGTACTATAGTATTATAGTATATAAATACAAGATTGTTATAATATATAATCAAAACAATTTAGTTTTTATAAAAAAATAAAGTGTTTAATTAGATTTAGATTAAAGCTAGAATTAAAGTTAGGTAGGATATAGTTTAAACTAAAATTTTACAAAAAATTTTTTTTATACCAAAATAAATATTTCCGAATACTAAGCACGATGATTCAAACATCACCACGTATTGGGTAACTTAAAGC